CACACACGGAAACACGTACGGGTAGAACAATTTAAAATGCACGGAATAAAATGCTTATAAAACGCAGAGGGGGCAACGACGCGGGGACGAGCGACAACCGATCGGAAAGAGGCGCGAGACTTGACTGGGAGCTGGACCCAGAACTCCAACTGTTTGCAGCTGAAAAGTCACCCCGAAAAGCTAACTCTTTAAGCTACGGAGCACTTTGTAATGTCTCTTTAAGTCTCTACTCTCTCTTCGGATCTTAAACAACTCTCTTTCACCTTTCGTCGCTGTTCAAAAATGCGCGTTATATATTTTACGATCAGCTGAAGTAACGCTTTAAATTTTATGGTCACGGAAAAACTATTCAAATAGAAATTAGGGTTTTACATTTTTATGTTAGAGGCATAGGATACCAAAACTTTAAATTCCTTTTTTAGAGAGTAGTCCCGTAAAAGCGTACTTCTATAAAGATCCATATAAAAAACTCAAGGTCTTCTTAAGTTATGTATCTAAAACATTATACGTCTTAGCCAAAACTGAACAGGGAAAAGATCCACATTTCTTCTAAACATACAACTAACAATTTCAGATCCTCACCTTAAATTAACTTTTCGTAACCGTATCTGTGATCTTTCTCTTTCATCCCTCTCTTAGATCTATCGCTTTCAACCTTTGCATATCCACATCTGTTTAAATATTTGCGCCATATATTTTCCAATCAGCAGAAACAGCGCTTTAAATACTATTGCACTTAAAAATAAAACCCGGTGAATTCGCTCCCCGATTTCCAGATACCAAACCCTCGATCAGTGGGAGCGAGCTATGTCCGAGAAGAAGGCGAGTATGTCTTGGATGTTGAACTCCAGGTTGATCATGGCTCCGGCGTAGCACTTCTGGATGCGCTCCTCCAGGTAGTTGTACTGGGCAATGAACTCCTCCTGCATGGCGTGCCACACCACCTGCAGAAGATTCTCCTCCTCGCTCAGGTGCTTCTCCACCTTCTTGTAGAGATTCTCCAGACCCTTCTTCACTTCGCGGGCCGGATACTGTGCGATCACTTTGCGCAGCTCCTGCTTGGAGAAGGCCATCTGGTAGCTGATCTCCGTCTCTTTGACGCCCTGCGCCACCTTCAGTTGTACGCCCTCGAAGAATTGCTGCAAAGATGGAGGGGAAATCAATGAGGTGGGGTTTTCCTTTTTTTTGCGGGGTCATTGACTTACATTCAACTTCTCGAGCGGCCGGCCAAAGTATTGAGTCACATACGCTTTTAGCGCCTCGTTGTAACGTGTCTTGGCCTCCTTTTTGAGGGCATCCAGACCAGGAACCTTAAGCTGGGCCAGCAAAGCGTACATGTGGTGATAGTTCTCCATGCGCACCACTTGCGAAGGTGTCTTCGGATGCTCCTGCGAGTGCAGGTGTATGCCCTCAAAGATGGCATTTACCAGTTGCAGATACCACTTCTCCATGTCCGTGCGGCGATCCGACTTGCGGAAGATGCCCTCCGCCGTTTGGGCAAAGTTCTCAAAGTTCTCCACGTACGGCAGGATGGCCTTGGAGCGCTTGTGCAGCTTGGCCTCCCTAATGGACTGCAGTTGCTGCTGCATGAAGCGGTCAAAGTTGCGCTTCACCTGCACCAAGGCGGAGGCGAAGGTCATGCTGAGAAAGGAATGTGTATCCTGGGCGGACATTACGTGCTGGGTGAGTCGCACCAGGACGTACAGAGAGTAGCTGTGACAAAAGAACATTTGTTACAAAATGTGTAGTTTAATCCGCGCAATAGACAATAGCTACTTACAAGCTGTCCACTCGCTCAAAGCTCTGGATAAAGCTAACAAGCTCTGGTTCGAGGCAACCGAAAAGACCCATCATCAGCTTCCGCACATCCTCGTTGATCTGGCGATCAATTCGCTTCTGCGGCACTACATCACCTGATGGCGAGACAGCGCCCGCTATGATGGAATGCGACATGTCCACGGCCTTTTCCATTTCCAACGTGGTCTGCGTATTCTTTGTCGTTGGACTAATCACATCCATTTGAAAGAAATTGATGCAGAACAGCTGTTCCTGCAGGGCAATGGGTTCCAGCTCAGCTAAAACCTTTTCCAACAGGGCATCGAAACGAATTCTATCCGCACTTTCGACTCCGGGTCCCCATTGGTCCCTGTTGATTCCCAATGTGCCATACGGTATTGTACAGACTGCCGACTTACGAGAGGACGTGGACATATCCAGATCCTCCCGAGAATTTCGCAGTTTCTCTGCCACCTGAATTTTAGCCTATTAAGAGGGGTAGAAAAACATTGATTAATGCTTGTTTTATTATAGGATATTAAGTGCTTACCAAGTTAAAGAAGTTTTTCACATCCCTGTCGTAAATCTTGCTCAGCGAGGCCGTGTAGACCCGCATCAGGCCATCGTAGGTTTTTCGATCCATGGCTTTTGTCCAGTGCATCAGTTCCGTATAGGGCGTCAGTTCACGATGGACGTTGGAATGATTAGGCAGCGTCAGTTCGGTGCTGGTCACTGGCATGTCTCCTATTTCGTTGCCCAGATGGATGAACAGGTTATTCATAAAACGGCTGACGGTGGCCGAGAACTTTTGTTTCCACTTTTCAAAGCGCTTGCGCTGATCCTGCACCGCCTCCAAGCGAAGCAGGGCGGGATCTATGTCGCTGTTCATGGCCTGCTGCAGGCACTGAGCAGCTGCTATGGCCACTTTGCGTCCATTGGCGGTCTTCAGATCGGGTTCATCCAATGCCTGCTGCTGGCTGTGTGGCAAGTCCAGTTGGCTCTGAAGAAATAAAGCTTTGATTAACCATATTAAGATGAGAATTACTGGCAAAACCCACTATGACTTTGTTAAGTTCTTTCATAAGCTTGATATTGTTATTGTTGGCGATCTCTATCATGGCATTCTTGCCGCCAATCTTCTCCATTGTCTCCTTAACGTGCCCCAGGATATCCTCATAGCTGTCCAGACGGTTCTCGAACTTGTCCGCTTCGGAGATGGCATTGTCGATATGCTCCATCATCTTCAGCACTTTCTGCTCCGAAGCCAGAACACTCTGCATATTGGCCTGCGAGATAAGAAATTATGAGTAATGGATTTTCGCTGCAGAAATCCAGATTTAGTCACCCCATCCAGATCGTGCAGTTCCCGGGACAGCTGCTCTATGAACTGCTCGGCATCCTTGATGGCGAAGTCACACTCGGAGAACAGTTTGCCCAGCTCATTGGCCTCCTTGTCCGTCAGAGCAGTGAACTCCTGGGCCTCCTCCTCCTCGTCCTCCTCGTCGTCGGTGTGCTGAGTCTTCTGGGCCGCCCTGCCTAGAGCCACCTTTTCCGGCGACTTCTCCGACAACCAGGCAGCGGGCACGTTCCGGAACTCCGCCCGCTGGCCACGCACGCTCTTTTGGATCTGGCGGTTGAGGACGGCCAGGAAGTTCTGGCGCTCGTGGGGATTGAGGGCGTACCATTTGTACAGCTTCTCCAGCTGCAGATCGAACTCATGTGTCTCGAACTGCTCATTCCGCCCGTCCACCCACTTGATCTCGTCCAGCTGCCAACTCCGCTTGCGCTTGTACTCGCTCTCGCGCTGCTCCGACTGCTTGATGAGGCACAGTGTAACCACGGGCACCGGGGGTGCCGTGGTGACCACGCAAAGGTAGCACGGCTTCTTGTCCTTCTTCTTGACCACCGTCACCACGGAAAGGAGGCGTTCGCCGGCGGCCAGGAACAGCTCCTTCTGCAGCGTGTGCTTGATGTTGGCCATGGCCCCGATGGACAGCATGTTTGGGAATGTTTTGCGGGGCACTGGGAACCGAAATAAGTCCTGCAAACAATCAACTACTTGCCAATTGTTTGCACTTGCAATTAGCAATCGGAGAACGCCTCCACATCAACAGCTGATTTAACAGAACTCCTGGCAGACAACAGAGTGTCGCTTAGGGATGTGCGCGTGACGTGAGTCTAGACTAAAATAATGAATAAATGTGTAGAGCATAAATTTTAAATTATATTTTATTTTATATACATACATTTAAATCAATGCAATTTGCATATTTGATTTTCAATAATTAAAGTAAAGCTCTCACAAAAATTCAAAACAATTCGCATCATGAGTAATATTTAGGAAACGGCTCGTAAGCACATCTCTAGATTTAAGGTCGATATTTTGCTATTATACTAAAACGGCCACACTGTTTGACACAAGGTAATCTACGGGTGAGTTTTTATGCGAAAAAAGTTTAGCCGTGAAAATAAACCATATTTTACCTATTTCCAGCAACTTTCGAGCAATCATGTTGGTAAAACACATTGTCAAGCAGGGGCTTCTGCTCAAGAACGGTGAGTTAAAGCAGCTTAACACCCTTTTTCAGTGGAACTGCTAACCTTAAAAATTACATAATGTGGGGAAGCCAATAGGGACTTCAAGGAACTGCGAAGAAATTAACTTACCACCAATTCCCTTAAAAACTATTAATATTTCAATTGTTATAAGTTCCTGGCGATAAAGTCTGCTGAATACCAGCTAAGGATCGATCTGAATATGTGATCAGACATTGGGAGTGACAACACCCTATGGCTCCCATAATCAATACCTACATATTTTGAAAAATCTGTTTACATACAATTTCAGCTGGCGCCTTGTCGCGTGCGGCTTACCACGGTGGCCATGGTCCCCACTCCACCATGAATGATCTGCCCGTGCCCGCTGGAGACTGGAAGGAGCAGCACAGCCAGAAGAACGCCAAGTACAATGCCGCGCTCATCACTGGCATCCTCGTCCTGGCCGGCACCATTGGATTCGTAAGTTCCTGCCACACCTTTCCCAATGCCGCTTTAATTTTAACGAAAATTTGCATTACAGGTCAAATCCTCTGGTCTGATCCATTTTAACTACTACGTGCCCAAGAGCCTGGACTAAGCCAGTCACCCCCTACGTGTATATTAATCCAACATTTGTGTTAAATAAGCTTAAAGTGGCGACATAGTAAATCACAGATCCGAAAGTATTCAGTTCGATGGTTTTATTTAGCTCAATAAACGGGGCCGTCGTCCAAATTGTCATCCTCATCGTTGAAGGCTTCTCCGTTATCAAAGTATGTGGCTCCATAGTCGTTGTCCTCGTCCATCTCGTCATCCATCGCCGCCTCCGGATCATCCTGCTCCTCCTCCTGCTCGGAGTCGGATTCCTGCTTGATCTCGTCCTGCTCATTGCCGCCAGACTTCAGTTCCTTCTGCTCCAGCACCTTCAGCCGGTCCTCGATGTTGGTCTTCTTGGCCAGCAACTTAGGCCGTATATCTGCGCCGCGTCGCTTTCGACTGGAGATGTTCAGTTCCTGGGGCATGGCTTTGTAGTTAAATTCGGGCTGGGTCTTGAGCTTCAAATGCTTCATGGCTTTCTGGGGGAATAGAGATATCGCATAAGGTATTGAATCTTATGAATCGGTAGGCTTTTCACCTCTCGCCAGTCCTTGTGCTCCAGATTTTGGGTCTCCTGGCTGGCGGAGACGATGTAATAAGGGGAATCTCGCATTCGATTCAGGAAATCCTCCTTCCACAGCAACTGGTAATTTTGAGTAGCGGTTGTCTGTCGGATGAATATTGACAATATGAAATCATTAGATTTAAGTGAATTTAAATTGATTTAAACCCACCTCTATGGTAGTGGGCCTGTTTAAAACAGGTGGAAACGTAGGAGGTGGCGCCGTCTGCACCGGCAGGTCCTTTGTGCAGCCCAGCATGGCCATTTGCTCGGCTGTGAGGGTGCCTGTCTTGCCACCCCTTCCACGTCCTGCCATTGTCGGATTTTTGTGACTTTAACTCAGTTTAAAATAACAATATTATCGTTTATATTGTTGTTTGGCTTTCGCGCACGTTTGTTCAACTCAAAAAACGATCAGCTGTTTTGTCAGCTAATGGCGTTGCCACCTAGTCGAATCCAAACAATAACACAGAAATATTTTTCTACGATCGACTAATTAATACCCTACCTTTATATAATTTTCCATTCCATTTTTAAGACCCAAATTAATTTTACACATAACATATATATATTTTATTGCAATTTGCACTTTTTCACTCACACTAACAGTAATTACATACATAATATTATAACACTCAAAATATATCAGCCCTGCTCGATTTTGAATTTAAATTTTGATAAGCAAATTTAGAATTCATATAATATCAACTATTCGAGGAAATATAATTTTTAAGCGAGCAGTACTTTTAAATCCATAGTCAAATTAAGGGAAACAGGACTGAATATTTGAATGAAACGAAAACTAATTAGACATCCGGATGTGGGGGCGTGGCAGGGGGCTCATCGTTTGGCGTCAGACCCACTTTCTGCATCAGTTCAGTGAGCTTCTGCGCCTTGCGATCCTCGTTGTGGGCAATTACGGTGCAAAGATGCTCGGTGAGCAGCTCCTTTTTCTCGGAAGCATTGTGCAGCTCTATCTTGGCCCGCAGGAACTGAGCCTCGATCTTTACATATTGTTTTCTGGAGAGGATTTGGTATTAGTTAAGTATTTAAAATCAGTTTGGTCATAATTCTTTACTCACTCTACATTGGAAAAATGTATGCAGGCATTGTCGATCTGCTTCCTTAGCAGGGCCACATCCACGGCGAGATCGCTCTCCAGCTTGGACAGCTCGTGGCGAATCTCCTCGATCTTGCGTGACTCCGCCGCCGACTTCTGAGTGTGCTGCTCGATGGCCTGGTAGAGCAATTGCTTCTTCTGCTTGTTTTGCTCTTCGATCATGCGACGGTGCTGCTCGAAGTCCTTGAGCGAGATGCCCTTGAAGGGCGAGTCCGTGTTGAGGCGCTCCTGCGAGATGGAGTCCTTGCTGCTCGGCAAGATGCTGGCATCGTAAGTGGAGCTCGTGGTCTGGCTATCACCACCGCTGATCTTCAGTATCGAACTGTCGTCCGTGGATGTGGCCTCACTGTTCTCGGCGGCAGCATCCGTATACGTGGCAGTGGGCTTGTTATCTCTCGCTGTAGCATGGCCATGGTAGAGTGCTTCCATTAATGAATCGGAAAGGGCGCGCTCTAGGTTCAGCGAGCCATTGGCTACGTCATCTTCCGCCGTGGGAGTTTGTGGCTTTGGCTTCTCCGTGGGAGTCACCGTTCCCGATTTGGTCTTCTTCGTCTCATCTGGTTTTTTAGTTGGTTGCTGCTGTTGCTGCTGCTGTTTCCGTAATTGATCTGCCTGCCGGAAGATCTTATCGGGCATCCGCCGAATGCCGGGTTGATTCCGGAGCGCCTGCTTCGCTGCACACGCACACACATGCAATGGGTTTTTATTATAAACAGATAATTGTTTACACGCTTCGTGGTTCATTCAGTCATAATGATCTAACCTGCTTCCAGATTCGCAGCCCTTTTACCCACGCCACCCTCCTTCACGCCCGTAATCTTGAGGATCTCGTCGTGGCTAAATCCATTAAATTTCTCAGTCATTGTGAGGTTTTTGCAGATAATTAGCCATTAAACGACAATCCACGGAGAAACAAAACACAACACATCAGCAGAAGCAAACAGAGCGGGCGATGCTGCCAGATCGGTGTAAGTTACGATGCGATCATTTCGAAGTACAGGGTGCTCTCACCAGACCCACATTAAAGTATTTAATTTCTTGGATATGACTTTCCGCTCTGAATAGGTTTATTTATTCTTATCATAAATAAATTAAATGTAACATCTTAATTTATTTGTATTTTTCAAACAGCTGCCGTTTTTTATATTTCTGTGAATATGTCCAACATTTAAAGCAAAGTTAGTTTGTGTTATAAAGATTATAAAGTATACAAAAATACAAGGTCAATAAAATCAACAACAGTAAATTTGATTTCATTTAAATTTGATTAAAATTCACTTAAGAGAGAGCACTTCACAATGGAAAGATTTTAGGTAAAAAGATACTGTTGGTTCGAATATTAATAATGTTGTACATACAAAACACAATTTTTTTCGATTAGGATGTTTAAAAATGTTTGGCTGCCATTCGTTATATGGAATTTAAATTGCATAGTTTTAATTTGTTCGTGAAAAGAACGTTTCATAAATTCCCCGGTGGAAACGCTTCTCAATTTCTAGCTTCAGAACAAGAGTTGCCAGATAGTTTTCCTATGATCGCGATTGCCTTAATCGATAGCTGTAATCGACATGTTCCCAATTCAAAACAGAGTTTAAAAATCAAAACTTCTCATCAAACTTTATTTAACACAGTAATGCCTAGTTCTGAGCGCAACTCGTGTATGTTCTGCTCCCAGCGCTTCTCCCAGTAGACCGGCATCAAGGGCTTGGTCCGTTTGCCGTTCTCCAGAGCCCAGGGCAAGTATTGCTTCAAGTACGCACGCCTCTGCCTGAGTAGACGAAAAATAAACAAATGTGTGAATGGAGGCATAATTGGGGGGACAAGTTCACTGAACTCACTTGGGACGTAGGCGCACCGCTCCGAAAACCGCGCCGCCGTAGCACATGGGCAGACCCGTGTTCAGAGCCTCCACCCACTTGACAGCCACCTCGCCGAGCATGTTGGTGGGCATGTCCAGCACAGTGTGGATTAGGTCGTGGCACTCGCGGTACCGCGTCATTAAATAGGCCAGCTTGGGGTCCTCCAAAAACTTCACGGCCATGCGACTGTCCGGCGTGACTTGCTGAAAGTGGGTGACCCAAATTACAAGCTAATTTATAAAATACAAATGTAATTATGTTTTTTGTCTATCTTGCTTTAAAGATATAGTCCACACAGGACTCCACAATGACTTCTAGAAAATATTTGGAATTTTCTAACGAATTTAATACAACAAAATACAATTTTTTTCAAGTCACCTTTATGAAACTTTCATAGGGCTTGCTAACACTTGTTCCTACATTTTTATCACCCCAAGACATGACTTACATTATCTTTCAGAAATTTAACGTAGGAGGCTCCAAAAGTGTCGGGTGGCAAAGTTTCCAAGTGCTTAAAGTCAATAGTACTGGTGTGGATACGCGGCTTGTCGGCCATGATGCGCTGACCCTCCTCACTGGATTGCATCGTATCCAAAATGTTCCATAGAGCATCCTCACCGGTCGTCTCGCCCAAACAGGCGATCATATCGTGGCTACAAAGTGGATTTAGTTGATTTAATGTGGCTTAAACAAATGAGCGGTTTCAATATAACTAAATAAAATATTAAGGAACATTTGATATAAACTAGATACCCTACCGTCTTGGATCCAGCAGGGCTGCAATGGAGGATCCAGCTCCTAGAATAACTCGCTGGAAAGGCGTTATCTCGATCCGATCCTTGAGATACTGCCGCTCGAATGAGTCCAGTGGCTCCGACTCAGGCGCTTCAGTGGCCACTGTTTGGCTATTAACCTGGCCCAAAGTAAGACCTCGTCGCAGGGCCAGTGGCTTTGGAAGACGCCAGCAACGTTGCATCATGCTGATCTGTGGATTCATAGAGGAGGCATGGGGAGGTACACCCGGTGACCTTATCAGCACGATCGTCGGCTTCATCATCATCATCATCATCATCATCGCACATAAACATGACCCTGACTACCTGTCTTCGGTTAAAGCTTGTCGCTCGGGCCGTACGTGCCCACTTTTAATAGCAGCGAATATGAGCAAACAATTTGTCCATAATGTGGGTACGCGGACAGGGCAGATGCTGACTAACAATTTACCTCACCGCACAAGCGCCGTACTCCGTCCGCCCAACGGTTAATAAATCTGTAAAAAAAAACCTGTTTCGGCTTCCTCATTACCTATCCCCAACTTCGAATCCCTCACTCGCCACCTATCAATTTTGCTGGTCCCAAAATAAAAGCTAAACAAAGTGCTGCAGGGGGCACTGGCACCTCATTCTCGAATTTAATGCTCAATTTCAATGTCGTCATTGTTGCCTGTTTGGATAAATGGGTAGTCACTATTTATAAGCAAGCGAAAAAAGTTAATTTTTGTGCGCTATGACAAGTCTTTGCTTCTTAAAAGCTTAGTGTGTAAACAATCTAGCTATATACGATCATTAGTTTTAAACAGCTAAGAGTATACACGGTTTCTCGGTTAGAAAAAATTGTTCTTAGAAATAAGATTGCCATCTTAAAAGCATAACTTTGTTTAGGAGACGATAAATTCCAAAGTTTCAGCTGAGTAAATTTATTTACTTTTATAACAAAGCAAAAAATTCGTTAACAAAAAATTGCTTTCAAAAGTCCATTACTTGACAATCAACAAATGAAAATGGATAATAGCTATGCACAAAAACTAAAGGCGTGCTTCTAATCAAAATTCTATTACGGCCACTCGCAATCTTTTTCTAGCCTGATAATTTTGTGGTTTTTTTAAATCAACATACAACAAAACCGAAAACTCTGATAGAGTTACCAGGGATCGGCCAACAAGTAAAAAGCCTTCCGGCTGCTTTTTACGTATGTGTGATGTGATGTTAAGTGTTGACGTTGCTGGATTGGACTGCCCAGCGCTGCAGTACTTTGTTTTCTAGAATTCTCAAGGCCCCAACGTGTTTACCCAGAAAAGATAAACACCCGATTAGGCACAAGTAATTGAAAATTCCCACATCGTAGCTTTAAATATTTCGTAATTTATACAGAAACCTAATTAGAAATAGCACTTGTGAGAGCAAAATTTTTCTTAATTAGCTAAGGCCGAGTTGTAGACCTTATCAAAGGAGCCAATCTTATCGGTAATGAGACAAAATGGAACACAACACAAAAAACATCGGTTATCTGGCCCACCCATTGCCGAGGAGGAGCTGGATGTCTGTGTATTTATATTACTTATGACACTTTCGATGCGGGAAACAGTTGCATGCGGACAAATGTACAAAGTTATTAAAATTACATAATTGCTAAATTACACTCATTAGATAGATCGCTAGATATATATGTACAGAGACGTTGCGCTGTGTGGCTATAGGAAATCGAATACAAAGTCGCAGATCGCAGATCGCATATTGCAGAACGAAGTACGTAGAACGGAATACGCTAAACATATCGTATGGCTTTGGCTTGAGTTTGACCTAAGACGAAGCTAGACATTCTCGCCGCGGGTGCTGGGCAAGTGGGTCTGCTTATCGGGAGCCCGCTTCCTCCGAAAAGTGACGTACGTGTACAGTAGACTCGCCAGCACGCTGATGTTGATTCCGATGCAGTTGAGCCACGAGAAGACGTAGTCCCCGCCAATGAACATGCCCAGATAGGTCACGCAGATGTTCTTCAGGCAGCCCACAATGGTGGTGGTCAGCGCCGAGTTGAACTGCGTACACAGGATGGTGCTGTACGACAGGATGAAGCCCATGACGCAGCTGAGCAGAAACTGCAGCACAAACACCGAGTCGTCCCACTGCCCGAAGTTGAGCGCCTGCTCCAGATCCCCCGTAGCATAGTTCAGGGCCAGGGCAGGCAGGAACATAAACAGCGAGTTGTAGTACATCAGGCCGTACTTCCCGATCTCCGAGGTGTCCAGTTTTTTCTTCACATACACCCCGTTGGAGGCGGTCAAGGCGTTGGTGATCATTACGTAGATGTAGCCCCTCATGTTGAAGGACAAGTCATCGGAGGCGGCCAGCAGTGCTCCTCCAATCATGGCGTATACGCTGACCTGCACCGCCGTCGAAGGCCTCAGGCCCAGGATCTTGAGCTCCAGCAGCATGGTCATCAGGATGGAGAAGCGTCGCAGGGCCGCAAACATGGGCAGACTCAGGGTTTTGGTGCCGCCCAGGCCGAACATCATGTTGCCCAGAAAGATCAGCGGCAGCGGGAAGATCTTGGCGAAGGTGTTCCTTTGCAGGGGCGGAAAGGATACAAGTTTCAGGCGCTTGCCCATGCCCAGGACCACAATGCTGGCGGTCAGTTGGCCCAGGCTGAGGAACAGGAACGAGGGAAAGTGGTAGGAGGTCAGCACCGTCTTGTTCACCACCGTAATCATGAACGAGGAGATGCCGTAGAACAGGGCGCTGCCGATCTTCTTGATAAACAAGGCGGAATCTTCGCGTTCGCGGTGGCCCAGCTCTTTCGAACCGGAGCCATTGAGTAGCGTTACTCCCCCAGATCCTCCGCTCTTCTCCTCCTGCTCCCTGTTGTCATCGCTGTCCGCCAATAGGGGCTGCAGGTCCAGCGTTGTGTTGCTGCCGCGCGACACACTCATCGTAATTTCGGGACGTCTGGTACTTTGATTTAGGCGCTTTCGTCACTATCGTTCGTTTCGCGGCGGCTATCTTGCAGCGCGCACATTTGCTCACGCTTTTTTTCGGGGCCACTTTGGGGCCGGGGAGGAGGCTTTCCCGCAGCACATTAACAAGTATTTGCTATTTTTACCGACGCGAAATCGCAGCCATTCTTTCCGGAACATATGTTCAGTGTGACCGTATCGAAGCTCTCCGGATATACTCCACAAATAAAATACCCTAAATATGTCAAATACTTAACACTGTCAACTGTCACCTGTAAATCTCTTGCGGCATGTTAAGATAATAACAAATGGATTTTTTTATACAAATAATAATTTTCTTTGATTGAAACTGCTCTAAATAGCTTTTAATTCACTTCACTATTCATATTTACCTAAAACCTTTATCCTTCGTAAATAACAGTAACGCGCGTAACACCACCCCACCAGCTTTCTACTCATGTTTATCCCTTCCAAAACAACCTTAAGCACAAAATAATGTTTTTCTTCGCTGGTCAGACCACTTTCAAAACTCACAGTCACAAAACAAGTTATTAATCGTCCTTACCTTGTTTAATTTAGACCAAAAACCAACACTTGACAAATTTTCACAGCCTAGATTGCTCGAATCAGCTGTTCTGTACAAACAAGAACAACACTGTTAACAAAAGCGCACAGTGAGGTAAATCAATATTTATTCGGAATATCAATAATATGTTTTATTTTATGAGATAACATTTGTTTTTTTTAAATACTAATAAGAATATTTTTAGTTTTTAAACATATACATTTACCTTATTCTTTTAAAACTAATCGTAGATAACAAAATCCGTCGCTATTATTAACATTACAAACTAGAAAAAATGTAATGTTTGAAATTTAAATTATTCTTTATAATATAAAAGAATATTTACTCGACTTTAAATAGCGATTTCGGTTTGCGATTTTGGGGCTTAAAATTAGTTCCCATGTTTCCTTTGTTATTCCACTGTGCAGCTGTTATCAATCGGTGTGGCAACGCTGGCAGCCAGGCCGAATTTTGTTTGCTTTTTATTTTGACAACAAATTGGATGAAATGAGCGGCTCCAAGGCGAAAAAAGGCGGAAAGGGTGACCAGATCCCCAAGCCCATCAGCATAAAAAAGGAAAAGTTGGAGGAGGACCGCACGCTGCATCCGATTTCACACTATATAGACGATCGTCTGGAGTTGGTGAAACAGATATTTGGGACACTAAAACCAAAGACTATAATGAACCTGGCGCCGGAGTTTCTAAAGGTTGGTTTTGGTATGCTTATAAAGAAATTACTAAAGCTAAAATTTAATCAGAAAACACCCCTGGACGAGATCGAGGCACTGTGCCTGGAGGAGCTGCTCTGCCTGTCCACCAAGCGCCTAAAAGCTATAATAGAAGGCACACGATGTCCCACAGACACCGAGAGCTCTGAGGATTCTGATGTTGAGCAAAAGGAGGGTATGTCAAGGCACTCTATAACTATATAAACAATTCCCTTATAGAGCTCCCCTTGCAGAACACATTTCTCTGGAGGAGATTTCCTCGGACAGCGACATTGGAGGGCAGGAATCCCGAAGAAGTTAGTGGTTTGGCTTATTTTACATTTAATTTTGAGCTGGTTAACCTGTGTTATCTGCACAACTGCACGCTGAATAGTTAGCCGCCGTACTTGAACTTCTCGCATGCAAGGAGCGGAGACACGTAGAAGGCACGCAGGATGCAGACGTCCTCGCCTATGCCGATGACCAAGTTCTCCTTGTCCTCCTTGGCCACTTCCAGGGTGACCACAAAGTCCCCAACCTCCAAGCAACCCTTCTTTCGCATGAAGTCCACTCCGAACTCAATCGGACTGTAATTGCACTCGTTGAGGTCTTTGGTGTAAAGAACCGGGTGCATATTTCGGCGCAAATGAAGCTCTCGTGACAATTCCACCTTGCAGGCAATGTTATCCGCATCGTCGGTCTCCTCGAGAGGCAGCATCAGATAGACTGGGCAGTAGATCTCGGTGCGGGAAAGGGCTACGCTGGCCGTTTCGCACGTGGTGAACAAGAATATTGCCTGGCACTCAATTGAACTAATTGTGCGAATGATGAAGTTCACTACCGTCTGGTACGAGGTCAGGATATTCTTCAGCACCATCTTGTTTTGGACAACGCCAACTCGATAATCCTTAATGGGCATAAGCTTCTTGACAATCAGCGGATATTTGTTGCACCACGGACTCTTCTGGATGTGAATGGCATCGACCTTCCAAAGGAATTCGTGCAACTCGAACCGCTTGAAGTCGCTGCAACGCTCCAGCGGCACAGTGCCAATAACCGGCTTCTTCTGGCACTGCGAAATGGGCAGCACGTCTTCCATTATGTAGTTGTAGACGCAGCAGCTAACGTTGAACATATCCGGTATCCAGATGTAGTCCAGCAGCTTGATGATGCCCAGTAGATCCAGCATATTGCTGCGCACATACTCAAAGTCGATCATGCCGATCAACTTTAGATTGAAGTCGGCGTTCAAGGTCTGTCGCACGGCACGAAGGAAGCTCTTGCAGCGAATCTTGGGCAGCACCACGTAGTTGGCATTCATTGCCGCTACCATCTGCAGGTCCTTCAAGTACAAATCGGGATAGACATCTGGATCCAGGGCGTGGCATTGCCTGGGAAGTTCTATGAAGTCGTAGGAGGCCACCAGACCAGCATCCAAGATCATGATGGTCAGCGCCTCACGCAAAGTCTTTACTACGCGACCCCTAACTTCCCGTCCAATCAGCACAATGTCGCCCAGCTGGACGGAGGCGAGATAAGCCCGCAGATTGATCACGTAGAGGATCTCCTTGAAGCCTTTATAGCGATAGGCCTCATCGGTGGTGAGTGTCACCACCGCCCCACGTGCCAGCATCACAGTGCAGTTGTTCCTCAGTCTGCCAATGCGACAGCACTCGCCGTTAATCTCCAGCGCCAAGCCGGTGGTCAGACGCAGTTCCCTTTCCGTAGAGTGCGCCGAAATGGCTATGTTCATTGTGTCCAATATGGCCTGCAGTTCCTCGGGCTTGTTGGCCACCGTATCGACGTGAAAGGTGTAGGTTCCATTCTCCAGCATGCGCCGGAGCTCATCGTGGGTGGTCTCCGTCACCAGTTTAGCTACCAAGCCCAGGTGGTAGTATCGCCTTCGCTTTCGCCGCCTGGCATGCTTCTCGTGAGCCTCACAGGCCGCTTTGAAATCCTGCAAACGCTGCTCCAGATCATGCTGACCATTGATCCTCACTGTGAACTTGTCCAGACGGTTCTCGTCCTCCGGCTGCTCCTCCTCCTCCCCTTCCAGATCGTCGGCAGTCTGGCTGTCCAGCTGCAGCGGTGTCGCTTGCTGGCTCACCGACATTCTGGCGTGCAGTTAATTTGAACAATACTTTACCTAAAATTTTTAATGCAATCTTTGTCTGACTTTCAGCCAAGAAAAAGCTTCGGGCCCAAAAAACGAACAATGGGAACGAAAACAAGGAGTGTAAGTACCAACCTTACGAAACTATGAAAACTAAATAACACATGATGTTTTGTTTGAGTTTAAAGTTGCTCAGCTTACTAAGATTGCCATTATTTCACAGCGGGCGGTCAGATGAGTGTTCTGGAACTTCTGGAGCTTCAGGCTCGGGCCCGGGCCATTCGCTCCCAGCTAGCCATGGAGCCAATCACCAAGATAGAGGTGAAGTCGGATGATGATGATGAGATCCCAGCGGAGAAAGTTCAGCGAAAGGAAAAACGCAGCACCAAAAACAAGGAGTCAGGGAAGCGCAAGTCGCAGGAAACTAAAGCACCCAAAGAGGATACATCTCTTCCTCCGGCAGAAGCGGATAGTACCAGTAAGGAACAGCAAGCGCCCCGCAAGAGAATCAAAATCAAGCGAAACTATCGGCAGACCTCAAAGTCGCCAGAAAAAGATGCTGCAGCTCCACCTCCTCCTTCTGAAATGTCAGTTACAAATAACGATACCAGTAAGCCGTCGCGTTCCAAATCGCGTTCTGCCTCACCAGATGTAATAACCATTCAAATGGAGCCAGAAACACTGCTGATCAGCGACAGCACGGATGACGAGGCCACGAAGCAAAAAAGTAAAGAAACGACTGAGCCAGTTGCTGTGGAGCCCCCAGCTCCAGTCGTTGAGAGCGAGCCGGAGGAGGGAGAAGTGCGCGATGAACCCGAAGAGCCGGCCAAGTCAGAAGAGCAAGCCAAGCCAGAAGAGCCGGCCAAGACAGAAGAATTAACGCAAACCGAAGAACCAGAAAAAAACATAGAGCCAACTAAGCTAGAGGAGCAGAAAACATCAGATGAGCCTGAAAAATGTACAGAAAAGGAAAAGCTCACAGAGGAAGCTTCCTTGGCTATCCATAATCCTCCAGCAGAGACAAAGGAATCCACTATTTCCGAACCAGCAACCCTAGACGATGAAGACCAAAACGACGATGTCATTTCAATAGGCGGTGATCTGGAAATGATTGAGGAAATGACTAAAGAAGACGTGCAACTTCCAGTGAGCATTAAGAATGAGAAGAAGGAGAAGCTGCCCGATCCCGAGGATATGGACAACGATGTTATATCATTGGACACCAGCGAAGATGAGCGTGACAAGTTACAACGGACAGACTCCGAGGTACTTTTGAATGTTCATAAAAATAACAATTTAGTTAATCACCTCTATAAAACCCTGATATTTTTAGTCTTGGCGCACACGCTACATGAAAAGCTCCAAGGTCAGCCAGGTGCTGGCAGAGTCGCGGCTGGGAAAACGCGTACGCGACAAACTCAAGAAATCGAAGCGCAGCAAAGTGGCTGCCAGCGATGAGCAGGCCAAGGCCGAAAAGCAACCGGTCTCGTTTACGTCTAAGCATGAGGATGGATCCATTGAGCAATACCAGGAGCTGATGCAGCATCGACAGCGCAAAACTTCAAGCAGCAGCAAGGGCGACAAATAAATCCACCCGCCGAGCAGGATTGGGATTTTTATTGAAAAGTCGCGTACTGACGCACAGGTCTGGTTTATATGGCATATAAAAATTCAAATAAAAACCCGTTGTCCTCGGGGGCGGCAGCAAACGTAAAAAATTTGAATATATCGTGCTAAGCGCATATTTGATTTCCCATTCGTCTTTTCTTGTAATGCATACTCTTTACAGAATAAACAATACAGTTGCTTTATTCAGTCTTAGGTTTCTTTTAAAATTTTAAATACAATACACTACTACACTATTATTTATTTTATTATTTAGTGAAACGTAACTGTTTTGTGAAGAGTTTAAAATAACAGTTTTTGATAACTTTATATAACCAGATTAAAGTGTTTACTATAATTTAAATTGGTTAATTGTGATTTAAAACTTACTAGATTTTTTATGTACTTCAGATTCTTTCTATATAATTATACACTTAGTTTTAAAATCTAGTTTATTAAATTGTTTTACTAGGGTATTCAGTACTTCGACTACCTTGCTTGAAACTTTCTTTCTTGTTTTTAGTTTTGTTTTTTAGTTTAAAAGAAAATGCGAAAACTATGCCCTCTCATTTCCGACGCGTGCTTCATTTTCCGAGGGAAACAGCCGCTAAAGGGGGTTGGTAGGAGCCGAACAGGGCGGGAAAGGCAGTTAAACGACTCGCACGCAGGTTACGCCTTTGCATTGATATTGTTTGTCATAAACTAGCTGAAAAATCATTAAGCGAAAATTTGAATGGAAGGGTTTGAGTTTAACCTAGTTTGGCACCCCACCCATCGTGTCTCGATTCCCCACCCCGTTTGAGGACTGATTCGGCTCCTCCTGCCACTTTGTCATCGACTTTACTCGATTTCTAATCATGCGGTTACAGAACATGTCCACACCACTCTACTTTCAAGTCCACTCCAACCTCTTGTGCCTCTCGTCCTGGCCATTCCATTCCACTCCACTCTATTCGTTTGCCACCCTGGTCCGATGTTACTGGTCTGGTCACTGGACTATATCTCAATTATGCTGCTGGGGGGCGGCGGTTGAAGCGTGTTGCACCATAAACGATGATTGTTTTATCAGAGACTCGGTTGTGTTGATAAACTGTTTTAGCAACAACAACAAAAAATGGTCCGGAGAGGAATTCTCTGAGTGGCATTTTTATTTTTGACTTATCTAATACGCATGTCCTGTGAGCAGAGGGTTGGATTAGAGCTTGTGTAGGTGTGTGCTTTTACTGCGAATCCATCAAGTGGGCGCGCTGCATACATATAAATATGGCTTGGGTATAAAGTTTAGTTTATAAAGTAAAATTTAATTTTAAATTTAAATGAATTTTAAGCAAGAGAACAGTAGGTCACGAAAATAATTTCGACCGAAGGCTCAACGCTGGTCGCCAAAATAGGATTGCTTGAAGGTAAATTTTTTTTTTAGCACCCTTACTAGTTCTTGTAAGTTTCTTTCTTTTTCCAAAAAATTATTTTTTTTAATTTTAAAGAACCTTTAAAGCAGGCAACAAAATGTATGTTCTCTTTCAATGTCCCACGATGGGCGCCAAAAAATGTATAGTTAGTGGAAAAGGTTAGCACATGTTTTGCCTAGCAGTACCACCCCCTCCCCTACTAATCCCTTCGGTTTAATCTCTCCCTTTTTTTCCGTAGAACGCCCCCGCGGCGAGAAGTAAACAAAATAGCAACAGAGCGTTGCCCGCTGGAGGTTGGGGGTGGCTCTGGGGGTGGTTTCTCTCGCGGACTCTCGCTCTCTTTCGAGTGCCAGTGCACGAGTGTGGGTGTCTGCATCCTTTGGCGGCAGGCTGGCAATTGGGAAAACGGAAAAGCCGAATCAGTCTACAGAAAACGCGTACGTGGTGCAGAAGTAGCCGCGGGTGGCTACCACAGCGTCGTTTTGGACTTGTCGGCATGATCAAATAAGTGTAACGCCCTGTACAAGTTCTGTAAGTTTCCAGCTGGAACAAAATCAAACCAAACCAAACCCATGAGAAGCAAATGAAAGCCAAACAAATGCACAAAGCAATCTGCCGATTTCAGTGTCCAAAGTGTTTGAAATGAGTGACAAAACCCGAGGATTTGTATAAGCCAATAACAATCAAAAAGTGGTGACAACACATAAAAATTAAAACAAGGATATCCAAGTTTATTTTGTATTTTTATAACCAAAAACGCTGTGCTAAAAACCCCATAAAGTGCTTTAAACGTTAACAAACTAATTAAGTAATAAATAACTCAAAAATTTTGATACTAGCCTAAACATGCCTTATCCAAGGAGTTTCCGTTCGATGCGCGTTTATTTTCGCAAAAGTTTACACTTAGGATTAAAGATGCTCTCTCTGGCCAGAGACATAGTGAGTCCAAGCTACGAAAACTATAACCCAAATTAATCAAAATATATAACTGGAATTTTGAACTGTGCCCGCTTGCATTGGCCACTAAAAAACGAACAAAACTAAAATTGGCTTAGAAAAAATTGTATCGAAATTAAACACAATTGGCAAATACAAAAAAAAGTTGCTTAATGCTTTCGACTGCTTAAAACTCCTACTAAGACTCCCTGCAGTCATCCTAATTTTACAGCTCTATTAGTTATGGTTATGAAATCTTAAAATATTCCATTATAAAGAGCTATTGAAATTAAATGACTGTGTTTATTATTCCTTATAAAATGTACTTTAAAAAGAATAATTTCTTTTATTAATATATGCATGTATGTATATAATCACTTTAAAAATATATATCCGCAACGAGATTCTACACACTTATTACTTGTAATATTTAAGTATTTTACTTATTTACCTATTACTATTGGCAAATAATTGAAATTAGGATGTTTGTTTACATGATTTAATGAGACTTATATTTATTAATACTCTGCATTGAAAAGAGTGTTTCCAAAAGATTAGGGCTTCTCATCTGACGACTTTAACATCTTTTCTAAACAAATTTTACTTGCATTTTTTGAAAATTCAATTCTTTTAAACTAGTAATAGCCAGAAACTTATCTAGACCTTTTAGGGATGCCCTTAAACATGACGACCCTAAGGTCCGATTACTCACCTTCATGATTAGCTAAAAGTAATTAAAAGCGGGTTTTAAAGTAGTATTTTAGCTCTCTTAAAGGTATGCTATTCTGATTTAAATAGGGTCCCGCCTAACTTTTGTTACTCACACTAGAATGTATAATTCTGGGCTTGAAAAGCAGAAAGCCCGAAATGATAGATGCGAATTTTTGATAGATGCCATGACGCGCTCACACGCACACATAAACAATGGCCTACGAAGTTGGTAAATTTAATTGGAATAATAAATGGCGTGTGAGTGTGTGCTGTCCGCGACTCTCTCTCTTTTTTATGAAACAAAAGTGCACAATGTCTGATATATAGATGTCATAAAGTTTTATTAATAATGAAAATTGTACTAAAAACGGGGCCAGCCGGAATGGGGCAATTTATTAAAAAGTCTCATTAGCTCACGGGTTTTATCGCACGTCGAGCATACGCCACGAGGTCCCCTTACGGGTGCTAATAACGTAAAAGCAGAAACGAGAATAATAATAATATAATATAATAATAATAATATAATATGGCCGGCTCGGGATTGCGATAAAGTAAAATTTTCGATATGGACATGATTAAAATGCCAGCCCCACATACCACCAACCTTTTATGACAGGGCGAAGGCAATAACTGGGCCGTCGGAGATTAAGTATTTTTAATGCGACTGCGACTGACAATAAAAATATAAAAATTTCAACGATAACATATAGCAACGTCAGCAGGCCAAATCAATTTCAATATATCTATTGATATGCGTTTTGCATGTGTCTATTGTAAATATCCAGCCGACTGATATTAAGTCACTTGCCATGTGCTCCTCCGGCAATATTTATTCGCTGAAAATCAATAAATTCCACACAGACACACACCCGCAAAGCGAATATTTTTCTTTTTTCTCATTTTCTCTTTGCGCTGGCGCTGCGGCTCATTATTAATATAAGTATATACTGTATACATCTGTATATATATATATAAAATTTTTTTTTTACATTTTGATATTTCGCAGAGCCCGGAGGTTGGGGGTTGGCTTAAGTGTTTTTCTATTACGCCTTTTGCCCGAATTCCAGCTAGGCACAAACACAAACACACACACACACACACAGGCACCCTGAGCACAACCCACCTCCCCCAATATTATATTTGCTTTTAAATATTTTGATATACAGCCCAGTAACTTACACACAAACACACACACCCACTGCCAAGCATTTTCTCATAAAAATTTCGTACTCGAATAAGACGAAGTAGCTGCACATTCATACTCACACACACACACAAACTGGGCAAAATGTAACCCGCAGGCATTATGGGTTAAGGGGAAAGAAGGGGCTTGGTGGGGGCCACATGGCAAAAACTTTGAGCAGCAGCAGGAAAATAATGTAAAGGATGTGCCAGGGCCACCATGGAGACCAAGCCGACTGTAACTGGAAAATAATAATTTTTTCTCCCTTTTTTTCCTTCATTTCTTGCTTTCTCCGAAACCCCACACCCCACCACCACCCACTCCCACACCCCCACCCACATTCATCCCTCCTTCTGTATGTTTGCCGTTTCTTTTGAGTGTCAGAAATGGAAAAGAAAATAATTTGATGGTTTCATAAACTCGCTTCGGGGGCCAAAAAAGGGGCGTGGGGTGGTTTTCTCCTGTCTGTTTGTGTGTATGTGTGTGTATTTCTGATAAAATTGCAAACTTCTCCCCCTACATCTCTGCATGTGTGTGTGTGTGTGTTTGAAGATGAAGAAGCTAGAATTTATGGAATTTGTCTGCTTTGTATTCTTTTTTTGGATGAAAAGTTCTTGGACGATAGATTTCTCTAGCAAACTATTTTGCTGCATACTTTTGAGGGTGGCTTCATCTTGCTGATAAGGCAGATGATAAGGAACATAGTATGAGTCTCATTAGGGCTAGGGAAAACACTTGCCTTATTATAAACATGATTATTAGAACCCCCCACCCACATTTCCCTTCACACTTACGCACTTTGCCTGGCTTATGTGCACAGCATTTGTCCTTGTCTCTGGGTTTGAGTTTCATTATTAATTTTCCTCGTTTTTTCATATTTTTCGTATTTTTATTTTATCA